CCCGCTTTAATAATTGTAGCTAATGCAACTCGTGTGTCGTGGTACGAGAAACATGCTGCGTAGAATAGAAGTAAATACAAAATGACCAGTGTCAATGCAGAGAAAGAGAGAAAGCCTTGTGTGCAAATATTAGACTGTCGGAAAGCCCAAGTAATGAACAATTACATTAAATTAAATTAAATTGTACTAAATTAATGTCAATTACAAATTAAAACCATGCCTTGGACACATGTTGTGCAATATCAACATCGTCTCTAGTCCAAACAATAAATAATATTGATAAATACACACACGGTGCTTGTTAAAAAAAAAAACTGGCCAGGCTGACAATGCAAATCGGACATGATGTTTGCATGTTTTATATTCATGACTTGAAACCTTATCTGGGATAATTAATTGCAGGTGTGTTTCTAAATGTATATTAAATATTCATGTACCTATGGGGAAAAGAAATGCGTGAGACGTCTCCGCGAGACATGCACACGACAAAATAGCTTAGTACAATCTATCTACGTGAGATAATTCTAGCAAGGGGTAGGGTGACGTACACAAGTACGACATTATATTACGGCGAGTGGAACAGAAATAACAAGTCCGCAATTAATATAGATATATAAATTATGCAAAAATAGAAAGGATTGAACTTTGAGGTCATGCTGTGCGACTTTGAAAGCCGTTCGCGAGATGAGTGGACGCATTTGAATTAGTATACCAAGGTATCCAGTGATGTAATTTTACCCACAAACGGACTTGAAGTTTTTAGGCTAATTTTTTTAAACCACTTTTGCCCCCAAAAAGCATTTTTTTGACCCAAAATTAATAACGCATTCTGGATATTTAAAAAAAGACAAGTTTTACAAAGTTTGTATAATAAGCTTTCAGAAAATATATAACATGTTGGATATATAATACCATCTTCATTGTTTAGTTACTCAATTAAAAAGCAAGTCAAATAAACTGCATCTCAAGATTATAAACAGCATTCTTAAAATTACTGTCTTGAATATATCGGCATGGACGCTTGCTCTGCTGTTTGCTGTGGTATGAGTTTATTGAACTTTGTCCGGCGACAGTTGACTGATCGTGTGTGTTTGCTTGTTTTTTCTGTTCAAGAGGACTTGACACCGAAATCATAACAGTTGGGCCTAGTTTAAATATTGGTTAGTATTTTGCTGCTGTATATATTATTACCGTAGTTGTAATTTAACTAGTGTACCGATGCTATTGTGAATTGGGGGTGGGTGGGGGCTCAACCGCAAATATATTGGTAGCATAATTTGTAGTCAGTTTATTGCATATTCGAAGTTGTCTCCCATTATACACCACCCGCCTAGTATATTATGCTTGTGTCTGTTTCCATCATAATTGCCTTCTCCATACAGCAGTATATCATTATATCCGTAATGTCCGTGATTAATGATGCGTATGGTACGCTTCATTCGTAGGTTGATATATACATATAGGGCGATGTAAGAGCGAATCCAGCCACATGTAATCAATCACGGTTAGGGTTAACGGGGAAGTAACCTAACAGCATGGTAGTCCCAGATTGAAATGTTTTCACAACTGCTTAGGAATGCAATTTACATCTTTTAATTAGCCAACGTTGCCACTATGTTGATTTTCAAAGAATGCATGATGGGTAAAAAAAACGACTTCACGGCTTCTGTTGCAAAAATAAGAAAATGATTTCATCCGTTATACCAACGCGAATTAGTTCAAAGTTGCAGTGCGCACATATAGTCATAAGAGTAGAAATTAGAATGTTGCAAAGAAAACGAGTAAAGATATTAAAAAAAACAATGACACCAGTCTAGGAGGGGTGTTGGTGAATGATCGCTGGCGCTATGAATATGATTAAAGCGCCCCAGTCTTGTTCGATTTGGGTCTCGTACGACCGCGACATAAACAACGCGTACGCATTTAGAATTGACAGCTTACTTACGGATACGCAGACGTGAAAACAGACGATAAAAACTAATTCCAGTTGAAATGTATTATTCCTAATTATGCAAGCCGTGCACTAATCAGCGTCTAGAATATTTTACATATTTCAACGTTGTCTATAACAAGAACTACGGAGGGGAGGGGGTTAACGCCACAACGTTGAAATGTAGTTATAAATTTGAGCTATAGTAAATTGAAGTCTGCTAGAATCAGGCCCCAATTTTTCAACCGAGGCTGCCAGGTTCGGGTGCTGTATTACATTAGTACATGGTATCTGGTTCTTGAAATGTTTCTCCGTGCCTTATAATTATATTATATGAAAAGATGTTGATAAAATATAATAGCAATAAACCTCCACTCAATATTGCACAATTTATTGTGAAATACCACATCCCGGGGTATACCACAAGAATGATAGCTTATTCCTCACTTTTACATTTCGCCCCCGGTATCACATACTCGTAACATTCATTACAATCATTATGTCATTATTGAAGCTGTTCTATTCATCTCTTGTGATCCCACTGGAGGTAGTCTGACATGTAGAAGTGAGTAGGCCCTCGCCGGCCGAACGGCATCAGACCTCATTGGGTTTGGAGCACTGCGGAAGGCACAACGCACGCGAACTCGTCAGGCTACCACTGTGGGTACTTGATTTTATATACGAAAGTCACTTCTCATTTGCATATGTGGTTTTAATGAACTTTTTTTTTCAGGACCGACAACATGGCCGACAGCATTCCCAGCTTGTGCTGGAGAATCACAGTCGCCAATAAACATTGTGGAGACTGAATCGAGCGATATGGGAACTTTTGAGTTGACTGGGTTTTCTAACTCTCCCCCTACTGATTCTACCATGACACTGAAGAACACAGGACATGGAGGTATGTGTGTCCACACTTTTGTTCCGATTTGTAATCGCATGGCGATGTATTTGTAGTAGCCATCGAATTAGCCATTTTATACTTCGTAGTTGGTCGTGCTATTCTCTATAAATGGGCGCCGAGATCCTGTGAAAAGTGAGAGGGCCGCGGGACTGTTAATTCTTCACCGTCACCGCTTCCACGGCGGGCGCGATAATAGGAGACAATTTTGGGTGCAAATAAGTGCAAGAATCATTGCCTTTCCTGTTTTCAGGCATAAAACTTGCATATATGACCTAAGTCTTTACAACTTGCTTTCTTTGAAGTGCCTCGAATTGTATACAACGTTGTTGTCTGCTTATATGCAAATTTATGTAAATGAGCATGAACGAGCCGACACGATCATGGATGCTGACGTAATTAAGCACAGCACTATGGGAGAATGAAACCTGCAAACGGCTTCTATTTATGTGATTTGATAGATTATCGGTATATGCTATTATTATTGCAGTTCAGGTGGACCTTGTGGGAGATTACCTCATTAATGGCGCATGTCTACCAAGTGAATACAGAGCAATACAATTCCATTTTCACTGGGGAAGTACGAATGATAAAGGATCAGAACATCGAGTCAATGGTGACATGTACTCTGTCGAGGTGAGTTCGTAATCATAATATGAATAATGTAATGCATGTAATGATCTACAGAAAAAAGGGTTCATGGAAAGTCTTATGAGTCCCCAAATCGAATTTTGAAGAATGACCTAACGTAAGTCGTACACAAATAAAATAAGTCCTGTGTGATTATCGGTACAACAGTAAACCTTGTGATCCATTTGGTGATTAGAGACCACAGTCCTTCTACAATGCAAACTGGTAAACTTTCTCGGTTTCTCATAGTGGTCATAATAATACGAAGTGGGGATACAATTTAAGTGACTAATTTGTAGTTAGTTCGTCGACTGAGACACGAAGCATTAAACTTCCCTGCGTTAATGGAAAAATTGAGTCAACGCGAAAGTACTTGCAATATTGTGCTCGATTGGTTATCCAGCGCTAACACTTAACAGTCAACAGTCAGGGAGCAGTTTGTTTTTTGAGAAGCTTTTATCGAACTATCATCAGTTGCGTTCACGCACAGCTCCTTAGCACGGGCTAAGAGGTCAAATTCCTTAGCCCGTGCTAAGAAAACGTGCGTGAATGCTTAGCACGGGCTAAGGAATGCTAAGTACGGGTTAAATCTGATCCGAATTTAAGACGCGGTCTAGACCTTAGCACGGGCTAACAAAGTATGCGCGAACGCTTAGCCCAGGGCTAAGCGCCTTCTGCGGCGACCTTTGGGTGTGAAAATTGTCCCATGTTCGTATAACGACAATATTCCACCAGTCATTACTCCGCGCTCGCTTCCACACTAACCGGGTCACTGTAGTAGAGCGTACAGCAGCTCCAATCGTAGACAAAATAAATTTGGTTCGCTGTCTACGACATGCATTAATAAAACTCTGTATTCTGTTACGACCGTTTGTATACTGTTTATGTGCATCCAAATAAGTTGGGTCCGTCTTCTCTCGCGTTTCTGTGCACGTCGCTTCAAAATTAGAACGAAACATGCCAGCAGCAGAAATAGAACCTCGCGCGTGTCATCCTTTTTCGTTCGTAAATAGCGGATTACCAAAGGTCACCGACTAATGGCACCCCTTAGCCCGTGCTAACGACTGGCCCTCCCTGTGCGTGGACGCAATTGGGTCTAGCCGAAATGCAAATATGCTAGATAAGCCTAAATCAGCTTAAATCTTAGCCCGTACTTCGTGTAACGTGAACACAACTATCAGCAATGTAAAAACGGCAAGATCTTGAGACTTCCTTGTAAATAAGTATAGGTATATCATAAATGGCGTGTTATCTCCATTCCTTGTTCATTTCTTCACAGATGCACATTGTGTCATTTGATCACATCAACTTCGCGACAGTAGCTGACGCTCTTGAAGACGCTCAAGGTGTGGCTGTCTTATCTACTCTGATTGAGGTGAGTAAAACCCCAAACTCGCACACAAATAAGTAACGTGCAATGTTATATTCAAACTAAACAATGTATTTACTCGCAATCAATAAGATCTAAAGCACAGGAAGATGGGTAGTCAAATAAGAGCAAATTGGTAGTTCCATTTGCCGTTTAGCACCTCTAACCGAACCGTACTTTGCGCAAAATAGGCATTGTGCAATATTACCTCAACATGCTATATTCATATCAGGCAATGTGTCGACTTACACTTAATCGCATCTGATGGACATAAAGTTTTTCCATTCATAAGAGGCTAGTTGGAATTCCATCTGCCGTTCAGCGTCCCTAACTGACTAGATAAACACAAGATACGCACAAATGGACAACGTACATAATATAACAACTATGTCGACTCACAATCAAATAATTCTAAGCTCAGACAACTAATACATTGTATTAGTTGTCTGAGTTCTAAGGCACAAAATGATGATTTATGAATTAACACTATATTAGTAATTACATTTGCCGATGGGCACCCATAACCGACAAGATAAACAAACGGTACGGTGATCGATCGTGAGTGGACACGCGTTTGCATTGAATATAACGTCGATTCATGTTTAGTAGACTGCACGTCACTCGATGTTGTGCAGTGTTTGTGGTTTATTTAAATGGGTATAAGTTGGAAGACTACAACCCAACATAACATATACCGTTACCGTTACGTTTCTTTTACATTATGTGCATCTGCCCATGAGATACGTTCACACCAATATGAATATACTTCTAACTTTAACATATGAATATGCTGCTAACTACAGCCGGGTTGTATCTGTCTGGTTTCCGCAACTGTATTTGCCTATGGGGCTTATTAAACGCAGTGGTTTACATATACATAATATAAGAAAACACTTATTTCAGGTTGGTGTCGAAAACAATACAGCTTTTGATAACATTTTCGATTATTTGGATGAAGTGGTATATCCAGGTAAGTTTGAATATAATATTTAACTGACAATAAACCACATTTTTGTGTGTTTTTGTTTTCGATGCATCAAAATCGATTCTCGAAGTTTTATATATTTATCTGTTATTCGGCAAGTATATATTCTGGCCGGGCACGCCTTTTTTTGTTCGGATATGCGTTTACGTGTTTGGTGATGATGATAAATCGAAAACTTCTACATTGCGGATAACTTTTCACGTCGAAGTCAGTTCCGATCACAACATTCGACATTCACTTTTGCACAATACACTATAGCGCTCAGCTTTGAAGATGAAATACTGTAAAACTATTTATTTCCACCGTCATTTTGATGTTTTGTACGATTTCACTGGGTTTCAAGTTTTCGACAGAGGAAACAACCAGTCCGCAGATTGAATTTTTGCCAATTTTACTTAAAACAAAAAAAAATAGTAAAATTAAAAACCAGTGAATAATTGATCATCATAAAAACAAACTTATGCTGAGAACAGTTTTCTTACGTGGACAGTAACAGTTTGACAGTGGCGGCAAATGCCATATCTCAGTCACATGTACGTATAAAACAGTAAAATAAAACTATGTTCTACTAGTATATCGTTTTATCTATAAATATAAATGTATATTTCTTTCAGATGAGACCTACTCCTATTCCGATACGTTCCCGATCTTAGCGATGATGCCTTCTGACCTGACAACGTACTACCGCTATCAAGGTTCACTCACCACCCCGCAATGTAACCAGGCTGTGATTTGGTCAATATTTCAATCGCCTGTGCAGATTTCGCAAGAACAGGTAAGAAGAAATGTAGAGGGCGCTGTGTACTTTATTACGGGGTGTGATGTCCAGTCTGTGAATCAAATATCTACTTATACAGAACTTCATTTGCTTTAAAAAAAATCACCATATTTCGATAAAAAATACATACATTCAACAAACATTTCACTGTTATCAGAGCTTCTATGCTGCCACGGCTTTATGATGCCGTTCACCAATGAGGGTGTGACGAATGGAAAGTGAAATCGACCATAGTCCCGAAATTCTAGAAACTTTAACAAAAAAATATGTCATGTCAACCAAATTGTCCCCCTCCGTTGTAATTGTCGTAGTTTTCTTTATTTTTTGCATGCGCATCTGAGAAAGTTGGTGAACAAAAAAAAATATTGATCAGATCAAGAAAACGTATCATGTTTTAAGATTTTTTACCAAACATAACACTTTGTATCCGATCATCTGTCAAAAATGTTAATTTGCCAGTACCTTATTTATTATGCTTTATGCTTTGACCGAACCCATCATTGATACTAGGACCTAGTTGTCCCCAGGGAGATTCAACCCGAATTTTAGGTTTATGCCACCGGAATTGATTTTTCGAGTTAAAAATATCACGCAAAAACTGATATTTTTGTTTTTTACCGTGAAAGTATTCCTTCATATCCTACATTTATCCAGCGGGACGCAAATAGAAATAGTCTTGTCTTGTTTCATTTCCCATAGTGCATTGCAAATAAGCTCAGGAATGTAAGCTTTGAAATTTGCTCTGACTCCCTTGAAAAATATCCCATTATTTGCATTTGTACAGAAGACTAGACTTCGAATATCATCAGAATTCGAATCTTATCATGTTTATATATGTATTTCTCCCTCAAGTTGGACCAGTTTCGTACTCTCAAGTTTAACGCTATGGGCGAAGCTGACAACCCGATGGTAGACAACTTTCGTCCACCCCAGCCTCTCAACGACAGGGTGGTCTATATCAACGACTTGTCAGCATCACCATGCGAAGAATCGTCGGCGGCCATGGTCTACGCTAGGTCCGGTGTTATTATAGCAGCCATGGCGATAGTGAATGCGTTCATTAAATTTTAAATGCACGTGAAACAGAAGTCAGAGCGTTAATCAAGACTATTAATTCAATCTAGTACTTAATTCCTGTTTTTGTATGGTCATTCTTAAGTGTTTTTGTGACAATTGCGCATTATATTACTCTGTCAATGCGGCAGTGGAATCAATACGAAACCACTTGCTCGATTGGTCACAAAACCCTAACACACAACATTTAGACCAATCAGCACCTTGTTTGGTGACAGTTTTGCTACATATAAAGTTCTGTCTTGTATATATGCTTCGACACAACTGGCAATAGTACGCATGGTCGGGCAGGTGAATTGTTCTGAACGTTTTGTCCCATCTTGTTGCATTTTTACAAAACCAACCAGTTAATACTGTCATAATTTCCTATCACTTTCCCAGTCTATGTACAGAATAAAACACTACAGTAGCATGTGGTACAACGGTAACTGTAAATGCATGTTTTTTTTTTTAATTCATTCACATAATGATCACGTGGTTGTCAGTGATTCTGGAGTGTCCTATGAGGTTCTGCAATATTATAATAAAGGGTACAACTACCGGTTACGGTGTTTTAAGTTCCTTTTTCCGAGATCACATTATAAGAACCTTTCATAGTGCACGTTGTTATTCAGAGTGTTGAAATCAAGTTTTTAGAGTATAGTTCTCTCAGAGGTTATAAACAGTCATAATACTTTGTATTGCACCACCGTGACGACTGTCGTCAATTTGCCAATGTGAATTCTAGAATTTCCGTGGTTATATGCCGTAGCCGTGGTTATAAAGCGGGATACGAGGTCAAAATACCGACAGCTCCGAATATGTGACAAATAGACCACCTCGTATTCACAGAATCAATTTGACTGGCCGAAACTTCCAATTCGCGACAGTCGTGGTGCAAATTGGTGAAATCATGGTCACTTGATGGCCAAGCTTTGCGCTCGTGCTTCAAATGCCGTAACCATCATGTGACCATGCTTTCACTCGTACATACATACTCGTACACTCGTACACTCGTACATACTCTGTGGGGAAAATTAGCATATTTGACGGGAGATAATAACCGAGCGTATATTCTTAATCGAATATCCGGGCGTTAAAGCGGGGGAGTCGTCACCTGCGCATGCGTCAGATGGCCATAGCGTGTCATTGCTTACAAACAAGCGTCTACCCATGAGCCTTTGCGTTTTAGTGTGTGTTATCGTCGCCTGGGACTCAATTCTCGCGTGTGCGCATTTGACGACCCTCCCGCTTTAAGATTATAACCTCATTGTCATGGTCGCATAAACATATATCACGTTTATGATATTATATTATGTTTATATCACGTTGGTATGTTTTTCATTCTCTTAACGTCTTTTTATGGATTTTGTTATCACAGGGGGTGACGAAGAGCCATGGGATTTTAAATATTCACCTGTAGATGGGCGAAGTGCATGCCAAAATAGATAATAATTGTAGTGTATTTCAATCAACTGGGGGATAATGTACATGTAAAACGTGGCTAAACAAGTAAAAATATGTTTTAGTTGTGATTTTTTTTTCATTTACGCCGATTTATGAAATAGAAGACAGGCACCGAGCGAAGCAAGTGTTGGATTCATACGATATTCAGCAAATAAAGCGCATGTTCATCATAGTGATTTTTTGACAATAATAATTCGTATAATTCGGGCAGATCTTCTAGTGCCGAATTTAAGACCTTGCTTCGGCCATCAAATGGCTAAATCCAGACTAACCATATTACAATTGTATGTACATTGTATACATGATGACACATGACATCATAATAAAAGATGGCCTATTCGATAAGCGTACACTAATTTCTTCGTTGTTGTGAAAATTGTGTTATGTGTCTACGTAATTATATAATTTAGAAACAGTATCTATTGCACATACTAGTGACACGCGCACTATAGATTTATGGAACTGGACGATGTTCGGTACCGTACGTTCCCGTCTCGTCCCGTTTGCCTAAATCAATTACGAACGATTTAAATAGTTAAATAAAACAAAAACTATATGTTGTCCGTAACTCGAAGTTTGGTTAATTGGTATTGAACGTTCGAGTTACTAAATGTGGACGTTCAACAATATTTTTTTAAATATTGCCCGTAACTATAGAAGTTCTGTTAACTGTTAGTTGAGCATAGAGTCACAATTTGGGCGTGGTTGTGGTTTCTTAACTATGGGCGTGGTTAATTTTTGTTATTTGTTTATGTCTCGTAATTCGATGTTCGTAATTTGTACAATTTTGTCTGTTGGTATATTTTACTTAATAACCGGCCCACTGACCTTCCAGGTGAGAGGGGGGGGGTCAAGGGAGAAAAACCGTATGATGCTAACCCCCGAAAAAACAAAACTCGGGGCTAGTCGGTGCCGCTCACAGTACTGCACTCGGGCTCAGCCCTTCCACGTTGTGACTCACTGGCAGCCTACCCCGCGTCCGGTCCATGTAGTAGTCATTTCAACCAGTAAATTACCAGTACATAAAATAATTATTTCGTCATTCAGACTTCATAATACGTCTAAATTCTGAGATATTATAAATTTCAGTGACAATAAATAGCAAGTATCTTCAACTTTATTTTCGGAATTCAACAACCAGTAACTGACCTGTTCAACGTTAAAAAAAAGACCGCCGTTCATGTGAAGTGCACGCGAAATGTGGTGACGTATCCTTTCCTTTCATGTACCCTGGTGAAACAATCACAATGTTTTGCGTCGTCAACATAGTACAGAGCACTATGCGCATACGTCACCATGCATATCATTGGTGAACGTGATTAAAAGCAGAGGCCCCAAAATAGAGTAATGGCGTGCATCGAAATTGCCAGGTGTCCCTAAAAACAACACGTTGACTGCGATTGCCCACATACGTGCATAGTCCCAATGTAAGCATTTTCTTGGATCCATAATATTGCAAGTTTTGTGTCAGTAATGAATGATTTACACTTGGATAAATCAAAATATGTTGAATCCAAGTGTCTGCCGTAGTCGAGTTCAGTTTACCCTGACAAGGACGCGTGAGTTGCGCCCTCCGCGGTGCTCTAATGAGGTCCGGTGCCGTTCGGCAATCAACAAGATTAGCAGCGGTAAACGACCTTTCGTAAACCCATGTTGACAAGCATTGGTAGTGTTCGTGACATGACTGTATGACACTTTTAGATGATCTTTTCAAACACTGATACTGATTAGATAGATGATTATGGCAGTGTATATTTATTGCAAAGCAAAAGGCCATTGGCCCAACGAGCAATTACCGTTTCACTAAAACAATGATAACAATAACAAAAAACATTCAAGTTCTGCTTTTCATGGCAAAATAAACATAACTCGCTAACTGATTTAAAATTACATCGTTTCTTGAACTCATGAGCGAGATAAATTTATTGTAAGTGGGGTTGGTTCAAAACCATACAGGCAAAAAATCTGCTCTTATACGTTGATAACGATGGCAAATAGCTAAAAAAATGATATTCGTCTTCAATATAAAGCCACATACAACTACATGTACACCATTTAAACCTTAGTAGGGAAATTCACTCGCATTAAATTGCGTTCGCCGTGCTAGGCGATCAAAAAATGTATTTGCACTAAAGTACGTTCATGGTATTCACTTTATCGTGGCATAATCACTGTTTTTACCCTCGCTTACTAAAATTAAAATAAGTTTGGGTCGCAATCACCGTAGCCATCGCCGCCACTAATAAATAAACTACTAGTATATTACCACTGGGCCGAATCAATGATATACACATGTATCTGATCATCCCAAAAGTGGATGATTGGGCGAAAATTATTTCTTTTTTTCTTTTACTTTGACCTCGACATTCACGCTAAAATTTGGATTTGGCAAATACTAGTAGTCTCCGAATGTTGGTTCCCCGGGCGCCTCTAATAAATAACCTATCTTATTTTGGCCTTGACCTTTTTTCGCTCGAAAGGCAAAGGCGATAAGACTAGATTTTCAAGGACGCAGATCGGTTGGATCGGACGGTTTCCAATTCGTCGTATGTCTAGAAACATGGCAATGTTGTTTTTGGCGAATATATAACATATTCTGTTCCAATAAAGGATTTTCATATGCATAACAATTCCTTAATGAAACATTTCCTGTACTCTCTAAAGTTTGACAACGCCACTAGCCCAAGATGGACTTCCTGTTCAACGCGTTGTTGAATGTTCGCGTACACTGTACGTTAAAACACACTCTCGAACTTGACAATATTCACGTTCAGACCACTAAGCAAATACTAGTAGATGGAAAGATTGGTGATTCGATTGCTGGCCGGGATAGCTGCATTTAGTGTTCATTTCTATGCAATGTAAAATCATATCGATGCTGTGGGCGGCGAATGCTGACAGGTTGTTTTGGTTCTGCGGCTCTCGTGGCACGGCCAACTGACATTTGCTGATTTTTTTTAACTATTCTGATGTGTTCTGAGCTGTTTATAACACTGACAAGTAAGTAAGTACTAGTAAACAGTCCGGGACATAGTCAATATAGGAGTCTGAATCAGTTAGGCCCCGAAGATAGCGTTATCACACAGTAGTCCATTAATGAACGAAATTAACATAACAAATAATCCCATATTGACAAGTTGTTACCTTATATTAAAATATGTTCGCATATTTAGAGTACTAACAAATTCCCACTTCCGGGCCGACCAGACTTAATATACACCACGAATATTCACTTTTGAGATTTTTGGTATTTGTTGGTTCTTGGATATTTCAGCTTCGTCGTCCTGTACTTCATTTAGTAATTCGAACTTCCCAGATATCGAAAATGCCTTTGATTAATTATTTGCTGAGGAACGGCCGCTTGAGTACGTGCTCTGTAACTTGCAGCACATTAACGTTAGGTAATAAAATTCACAGGAAGTTGACAATCCTTAATATTGCTAAATCACCAGTTGTGAACTTTGTCAGGATTTTCGTATGAAGTTACACATCATTCTAGCAAGGACAAATATTGATTACTTTTGTGCAGCTTATATAATAAAATATGAAATAATTTGTTAGTATATCTTTATTTATTAAAATGTGTACACATTATATCTAATTGTGGTGGGAATTGCCAAGCCAGTTTATAAAATTATAAACAAAGGGCGAAATATGCCCTTGAGAAGTGTTATTGACGGAAAATAATATAATATAATATAATATAATATAATATATATATAATATAATATAATATAATATAATATATTATAATATATATATATATATATATATATATATATATATATATATATATTACCTTACGAAACAGTACTGTAGAGTGAACTTTACTCATGTAGTCGTGTCTTAATTTCTCTGTCCACGTATGTAAATCTGCTCTACAAACTCATCGTTTAGTATCGAGCACTCTCACCTGGAATAATCGACTACCTTCCTATATATATATATATATATATATATATATATATATATATATATATATATATATATATATATATATATATATATATATATATATATTTCTTTATTTCATTGTCGAGTTATACATTTGTTACGTACTATAATTTATCTATATTGGAAAACGGTTATGCGGATTAATAATTTCAAAAAACATTATTAAACTATCCTTTACAACACCAATAAGATCATACTGATAATGTTTATTAATCTTTGAAACTAGGGGAATTATCAGAGCATGGGTCTTATTTTGGAACTCCTACCAGAGCAACTGCACAAATCATAAGGGCAAATTAATAGCTTCTAAGGATGGTATTCACAGAATAGCGCCAGTTGTTAAAGAAACATAAAACTTCAATCCTCAACAACGATGAAAGGACCAGTTACTGCGACAAAGCCCTACTCCCCGCGAAACCCACCCAATACGAAAGCCACTTACCGCGAAGCTACTAGTTATATTTAATAAAACATTTCCTGTTTCTTTAGTGCCAATTTGTAACGGCCATCTCCGAAATGTGGACACTGAAAGCGTAGCAAATACTACTACAAACCGACATTGTGCACGTATATTAAATCACTTGCAAGCGAAAAAATACCGTGACGGCCGCGGGATTGCGTCAAGGTCTCAGGAGGGCGCAATTTATTGAAAACCAAGCAGGCTTCAGGGATCATGGTACAAGATTACAATATGCCAAGTGCCTGGGACGGCCTCGCACTGATGATTTTGTGTGTAATTTCCCATAATAGCTTGCGTCGTGCGTCACAATATTTTACAGTCGCCATCAGACCTGACTGCTCTGTCTCGTACAGCACTTATTACAAATTCGAAAACAATGACTCGGATCTGGATATTATTATTGTCGTTATGCATGAATTCATGTCATTCTCAAGGTATGTTCAGTTTATTAAACAGTCTTCTGTTAGGAAAACCGTCGAATTGTATTTTTTCGGCGACTGCAGAAGTCTTGGTGTCCGATACAGCGTTGGATCTACCGATAATCTTGCTTCAAGCAGTTAGTAATCTATGCTGTAACGTCAGCAGTAAAACAAATACTGTAAAATACTTTTTTTTAACTTGAATTAATTCTCGTTGAAACAACATTTTGTGTGTTTTGTATGGAATTTATTTTCAGTGATTTTTGAAGAGTCGAATGTAAAATATAGGAAAAAAAGTTATATTCGCTGGATTTTATTTTCACTGGTTCATTCCTTTCGAAATTTCTAAATGATGGCCGTTTCATCAACATCAGAGCCTGTCGTGACGCAATATCAAATGCCGCAAACTGTAAGCAATATTACTTTTCCAATATTACTTTTCCAAATGCGATGACTGAAGTGAGGAGGAATTATTACACAGTTGATCATGACACGGCTGGCACAGTCAATAACCGGTCTCTTTAGCGGACTTGGTAGTGCCATCGCCTGCAAGTTAATAGTATTTACTCCCGCTAAACATCGACTTTTATCTCACTGCCCACCTTTGTTAACCTTTGTCAAACTAAGATATCGCGCTTTGTATACTTTTTAGTTGACATATCACATGCGCACTGCAGTTTACTTTGTTGAAACCCTGAAAATACAACTTGAAATGAAAAGTAAAATCGTCTGTTTATTTAGTGTTTTGTATTTCATGGAATAACTTCATATAGTTGTAGGCGTTGTTTAAAATACTTCGTTATGAATATTGTGGTATATTAGGAAATGCAACATATTGGTGTTAGAACCCTCCATCTTGATTTGCATACAGACTCTTGTTTATTTGTTGGTGTTTTTTTTTTTCAATAAAATTAAATATCATGGATGTGTTCAAATGCAAAGGCCGGGTTACCACAATCCCAACAATAAATATTTTCACTGGCGATTAGTGTGTTATTTTAAACGGAAGAATCGTCACCTGCGCACGCGCGGGAATTGAGTTTCAAGCGATGATAACAACACACGCTAAGAACGCAAATGCTCATGGGTAGACGCTTGTTTGTAAACAAGGACACGCATGCGTAGGTGACGATTCCCCCGCTTTAACGACTGACAGGCAAATCTCCTGAGCTGAAACTCTGGGGTTGACGTATTTGCGATATATGTTTATTCTTTGATTACGACGTTTAAAAATGTTTAAAGAAGGTTGTGGTGTCACAAAATGATCTCAGATTAGTGTTATTTCTCTTAGCTCTTGAATTTAGTTTTGTTTGTTGATACGTAATGACCGGATACATTGAACCCCGTGACCTTATCTTGGCGTGTGTGGGCTATGGAAGTTATTTTCATTAGCAATGCGGTGTATTCATGCTGAATTTTCACCGCACCATTGGTGAAAATGCCTTCCATACTCCATAAGCGGCAGGGCGAGGTCACGGGGTTATGTCATATGATAATAACAAAACACGAATTCAGTATTTGCCTTTTCTTCCAGAATGGTCTTACAGTGGCGAAACAGGTAAGATAAAATAGATAATGGCGTTGGAATTGTTAATTTCAGAAAAAAATAAAATTTGTATTTAAAATGCATTTCTAATATCTAAATCTGTTAGTATGCTCTCCACGTCACAGCTTAAAACATTTTAGAAAGAGGTAATACATATTATGCTGTTAATGTGTCCATTACTGTACTTCCACTCTACTGTATGTAGAGTTATACATGCCAGTATATTCTCACAATATCACTAGTAAGCTTGCAGTATAATATTATTTACACATGCTTTTTATTTGACACTATATTCCAAACGTAGTCATTCAGCGCGCCTTCATATTTCGTGCAATACAATTTACTCGAGTTGTATACGTCGTGAGGGATTCACGTGAACAGGACGCGTGGCGACGACAACCACCATTTTTATCCAGGTTTTATATACAGCGATTTATCTCAACGTTTTAAAACAACGACAAAGGTCATGGAGATATCGTGACAAAATGAAGTCAGTGACTTGTATTGTTCCGAATAAGAGATTTATTTGATTGTATCTCGTATTGATATATGGCGGTGACAAACACGGAGCAGTCGCGTTGTGTCCAAAACAGTTTGCTAGTTTGTTTGTTTGTTGGATGATTCTCCCCGTTTTTCGGTTCGTTCGTTTGCTCATTCATTTCTTCTGCACTGTAGCAGGCTTAAATAAAATAAAATTTATTTCTGATCTACGAGTATCAATAATATCCATCTTTCATTTCCTCTGTCTATCTTGGAAGTCGAGCAGAGGTATATATAGAAGGCATAATCTGATACGTCGACTTGGTGTCCAATGAGGCACAGTCTTATCTGAAGTCGAAATGGTAATTCTAACTTGTCTCGCAGGACCTGCCAATTGGCACAAGATGTACCCCACCTGTGGCGGCGAGAATCAGTCGCCTATAAGTATACTTACGACGGAAGCAGAGGAAATGGCAATGTTGAATTTTACATGGACCGGGTTTGGGGATGACCCACCCAACGGAGCTAGCATGACCCTGTCAAATCTTGGGACAACAGGTTAGTGAAGGGTATATTGCGCGTGCGTATGAACTTTATTTGTTTCTTTGTTAATTTTTCACTACTCCAATGTCCTCAAAGTATTACAAATAAATGGTCTATGATTTCAGTATTGGCGCCTTGTTTGGCGTGGCGGCGGTGTACATGTGATATAATCAATAAACAATAAATTATCTTTCGTGAAATTAGATTATATAACTATTTCGAAAATAAAAACAGAATCAATAAAAATCAGTAAAATCAGTCACTATAAATTCACAATTAGTTAAAACAGGTTTGACCATATATATCATATATATCATACCGATGCGAAGTCCCGACTTAGTATATGTATAGACTCCATTTAAAGCGGGAGGGTCGTCACCTGCGCACGCGCGGAAATTGAGTCCCAAGCGACGATAACAACACACGCTAAAAATCCAAAGGCTCATGGGTAAACGCTTGCTTGTAAACAATGACACGCTATGGCCATCTGGCGCATGCGCAGGTGATGACTCCCCCGCTTTAAATATAACAGAACGACCTTGTGTCATGTGTGTAATTGCCAATTGCATAATCATGAATGGCGAATTAGCAGATCAAAAACAGTCAGTTTTTCCGAACTACCATACAGCGCCCCCACAACGTTGATATTTTTTCTTTATTCTACCCATAGTGCAAGTGAACTTTACGGGTGATTATTTGATATCTGGCGGTGGTCTGACAAACACGTACAAAGCAACAATGCTCCATTTTCACTGGGATGAGAATGGTGTACACGGCTCAGAACACACTTTAGACGAAGTTAGGTATCCAATCGAGGTGTGTACATATGTAACGGGGCCCGGTTTGAGTTGTACTAATAGTCCTAATAACGATAATCCGATGCGTACACCGCGTACAAAATAGTAATACATTGTTTGTTTCTACGAAATTCGAACGGTAGCCGCGCGGCGACTATGGAGCCCGACAGAGGGCGCAACTGCAGCGAACTGGGCGACAATGACATCTTTGTTTGGTTATTTATTTCAGATGCATTTGGTTGGATACGATTTCGAAAAATATGACGATTTCGATTCTGCACTCTCTCATCCCGAAGGTATAATTGTCGTGGCAACGTTTTTAGAGGTAAGTACAAGTCTTAGATCAAAATAAATGTATCCATCAAAATACTTCATTAAAAACTTTCCGTGACCTTTGAACTTATCGTTTTCCCCGAGAGGAAACAGCATAAGACCCAGTGTGCGTGAACACAAACAAACAACTGACAAACAATCCACAACTAACCAAACGACTGACAAAATACTCCAAAAATTACTAGCAAGAAGTACAGCCTGAGTTAACAATAAACGTAAGATATATGAACCTCAAAAGAGACTGCCATCCGTTGTTAAGTGTCATTTAATCTGTTGACCTTAACTTGATCTGTATTTTCAGATTACCAGCGAAGATAATCCCAATTACAGCGAAATGTTCACAGGGTTTAACAGCGTTACATACAAAGGTAAATAACTTATTATGGGCCCAGTCTCAGTGTTAGCGCCATCCGAGTTCATCCAAATCAAAGAACATATGTAAGTGGCCCATTAAACGCCACAGGTGTAATACAACGCGTGTCCAAAATTTATAATATACAATATCACGTCACGTGGGACCTATATCGAACACGACAATACGACTGTGATGCTTCATTCGTTTTTATTTCATTTATGAATATGCTCTGTTGCGATGGAATCAGTAATTCAGCAACGTATGTATCAATCTAATGTTCGTTTTTTTCACTCTGGTAGGGCAATCTTATCAGTACCCATCACCATTCCCAATATTACCGATGTTGCCCTATAACACGTGGGATTTCTATCGTTACCATGGTTCACTTACGACACCTGCATGTGACGAGGGCGTTCTATGGACTGTATTCGTCCAGTATCAGCAAATTTCGCACGATCAGGTACGAGTTAAAGGGCGGTGGTCGTCGTGCTACGCATGTGCGACATTTATATTTATAAACATTGGTTTTCCCACAATCCAATCCGCTATTTTAATGAAAATCAGTATGAATATGAGGTTAGACCTGGGCGCGACTTGCACTAATTACCACCGGTGACTCCTTCGATACCTTCGAATCACCTAAAAAAATACCTAATTAAAGCTTGATAACGTCTCAGTTTGTACTCGTTGCTGTGCAACAGCCAAAGTCGCCATCTTGGTTTATATGAGACCCATATGTCTGGCGCATGCGTGGCGCAACGAATACCGCCCTTTAGTATATTTCGCAGGTGTCTTTATTAGTGATTGCAGTGATTCTTTTCGTGTCCCGGCGTAGAATCCATATTTTTATATAATTACAAGCATACTGCGAACATAACGTGATTTGAACTGAGACGACCACGACAAAGCGTCTTACTACTGTAAGTAGTACCTCACTCAGCCACGCCACATTTCAAAATAGCGTGTAATGACCTGAATGCAAGCCTTCAGTGATGAAATAGAAATCTATCCACTCGTGGAGCGTCAGGACCCGGGTGGACGCGATTAACTGGTAAACAGTACGAGCAATTTAAATGCACTACAACTAGATTGTGCATCACAAACTTGGGGAAAAATGAAATTAAACTTTAGAATACCCGAACTTGTTTCCATAGAAACATTGATTGTGATTTCTACCATAAGGTCTACAGTGACAGCCAAGTTGATTTGAAAAATAGATTACATCCTAATCTAAAGACTTCATGTTACCTCATGTTACTTTCCTTCGGAGTTTAAATCAAGTGTTGTTAGCCATTAATGACAGGTTTTGATCATTTGACTTTTTCGCTGCACAAATTAATATCAAATACTGCCCTACAAAAATTAGCATATAAAGCAGCAATGGGGTGACACTGTGATTAATACATGGTTATCCCGACTATTGTTACTACTAA